TGTGTAAGACACACTAATAAGAATTCTTAAAATATATTTTTTGGTATTAGTATTAAACAGAAACCTTGGCTCTCTTACAACCTAAACATTTTTTGTACTTGAAAACAATGTCATATTTACCCATCCCTTAACACTGCAAGAGTAATCTGATAACCATTTTTCCATTTCCTGTAGTGACTATGTCTGTCCAGGATGACAACGCTTATGAAATCAAACATTGCTGTGGGAAGACCATGCATGCATTAGCAGAACTACAGCTGGCAACCTGATTCTCTGTTGAGCCCTCGCTTATTGGAGATGTGTTTACTGTGGGATTACAGTGAATGGATGGGAGGAAGTGGGATGTTGTGATTTGGTTAATTTACAACCTGCTTAACATCTAAACAACTGTAAATTGTGCCTTAAGATAAAACTAATTTATCACTTTGAAGGTGGCTTTCCAGTTACTATGCCTGGAAGATAGCTTATATGGTCAACATTTATTTTTCATTTGTATAAAATAAAGTGACTTAACTGCTAAATAAAAGACCAGTGAAGACAACAATGCAGTTCAGAATGGCTGAGTAATGTAGTCTGTATAAGAGTTGGAAAGTCCTGTAAAACAAAGCATCCTGGCTTCTGCTGTACCTCTTAAAGGTAAAACCAGCTGTGCATGAATGCATGCTGCTTACTTACTCTTTTCTTAAAACTACCTAGAATGAGGACTGCTTTTCTTTCTAAGAGACGTCAATTCTGGGCACACCTGGAAAATACGGATTAGGATAATCTTATTTTAAAAGACACAAGCAGATTCTGACATGAAAACCCCTTTCCAAAGCACAGGATGCACCTGGGGGACTTCATTAGCCTTAACTTAATTCGCAGAAACATCACCTGTCCCTGCTTCAGGGACCATTCTTCATATTATTCAAATATTCCCAAGCAAGATGCAGGAATAGAGGTAAACTGTTAGATTAACTGTTATGTTCCATGTTCACAGTGTTGTAACATCAGCTCTAAAATCTAGTTGGTTAGATGTTTCAGTATGTTCTTACAGTTGGAGTGATTTAGGTAAGATTTTTATTGTTAAGTGATACAGAACTGTGCACGAGTTAAATGCTAAATTTCATATCTTAGTTCTACTACAAACTTAAGTCTAGAGAAAGCTTAATGTGGATTGAGGACCGACTGTTTATATCTCAACTAAAAGTTAATTTACTTGCTTGGCATTCTCCATGTCAAATTCCATATAGAGTCTACATCAATTTATTTCGGGCCCTGTTACCTGCTCTTCTATTATTGAGCATACTGTTCCAAATTCCTCCTTTTCTTTCCATATTGCCTTTTTTTTTTTTTACATCTTTTCAGGGTCTTCCTCTTTTCCTTCCTGTAGTTGGTTTCTAAAACACTGCCTCTAGGAATGTTGTTACCCATTCCTAGCACATGCCCTAGCTACTTTCATCTCATTTCCATCTTTGTGATACCAGTTTTGAAGAATTCTTTTGTAGCATTTGTAGATAAAAGCAGCTTCACCTCCTTCCCAAGACTTTGTCATTTTCCAGACTTTACTGACAAAATATGAATTTTACATTGCTGTTACATAATTTTTGTTCCAAGACTATTTCTTTGACCTTCAAACCTTTACTGAATAAATGCTGCTCCTGCTTTTTGTATATGGTTTTGGATAATTAGCAAAACCATTGAGGGGCAAGGTAGCACAGATACAAATATACAGTGATGAACTGAAAGAACTGGGTTTTGCTTATGGCATGGAGGACTTACACAAAAGAACAGATGGAACATGTGCAAAATGCACAGGACTAATCAAAGTTCAAGAACAAAGAAAGTTAATTTAAGGCTAGAAGTTGAAATAATCCTTTCCAAATGAGCAAACACCCCTTAGCTAATTGAAGTAGGTGGGAACAGTGATTCACAGTTCCTGGTCTTAATCAGTTCCAAGAGCATTTGGAAGGAAAAAAAAAAGAAAAACATTTAAAACAATCAAGTCAAGCAACATAGCAGCTGACTTGGTTATACAGCTTGAAAATACTGAATAGTGACTAACCCTTTTCTCACCTGTGATTCGGCTTTGCTTTTCCCTCCTCCCTCCTCTACTATTACAATCATTTCTATTGCTATTGTTCTATGAAGACCAGAATGAGTGTTCATGGAGAAGTATGCAAGAGTTTACACTAGCAGGAGGGAGTTTCCATTCATGCAAGTTTCATATTAATTATATTTACAATAGATCTTTTTGTTCCAGGGAGAAACAAATGTTGCAAAACTGAGGGTTTCTGCAGCCATTAATAAAAATGGCTTAACCTCTATCTTGTACTCTTTTCAAGTTCTTCCCCCGCCCCCCCACCTTCTCAGTTGTCAGTTTTCTTTAAGTTAGCAAAAACCTGATTTGGGTATTTTGTGTTCTCAGGATAGGAGATGGTCAGCATGAAGAGCAAGGACTGCATAGAACAATGATTCCTATCTCATGAATATTTGCAGGATTCTACAAAAAGTGAGGTTTATTTGCTTATATAATAAGAATAATTTGGACACAAGGATGCCAGATCTGAGGACATAACGTTCTTTACAAAGCATATCTGGCAGATATGATTTGGCAAAGGTGAGTTTCACTGTTCAGTTAGAAGTCTAATTTCTAAAGAGTTAATGTTGGAACACTCCATAAGTAGTTTTATAAATAGTCAAATGTTGGTCTTGCGCTAGAGTCTAAACCACATGTGTAAAATAAAGTACAAAAAGAAAAAAAAGTTAGCCACAAAATTGGTTTAATGTTTTATCTAATAGTTTGAACAAGCAGAAAAGTGCAACTTTGCAAGATAATTCTAAAGACTGAAAAATATATTAAGTTACAAGACTTGTTAAATGTATTTACCATTACAAAATGTGTCCATTTCATACAAATCTATAATGAGAAGGGGACATTTATAAAAATAAATAGGCACCCTGGGTAAGTCAAATCAACATCTCAGGTCATACAGTCAGCAAATATTAAATATATGCATGGAGTGCAGAGAATAATATAAAAACAAAGCATTTCAGTTAACTGTCGTGGGCACTGTAATAACTATACATGGGCCTTAGATAATAGGTTTGTTTTGGAAAGTGCCATTTCAAGCAAAGAGGGGAAAGACTCAAGTCCACCTAAATCGCTTCCAGTGAAGATTGTTGCATTTCAGAACTTAGGACAAATCTAAGCAGCTACTCTGAAATAAGCAGAGTACGTTTACCAGTTTTGCTCACTAGCATTCTGGAAACCAAATTCATTGGCATCATTAACAGGCATTTATATTGCTTTTTTGTACAGAAGTACAAAGGTTTGCTGTGGACACTTAAAAAGATAATATACTGTATCACCATTCACATTTGTTGCTGTGCTGTGTATACATAAAAATACTGAAGTTTCACATACATTTTTTTCTGAAAAGCTTTACAAATTGTACATTATTTACAAGTTCTAGCACTGTTAGAGTTTTACAAATATTTTTTTTTTAAAAACAATTAATTGGCTATGTACATGTTTGTGTGGATGAGTTATAAAACATAAATTGTATACATTTCTTACAAAATAATAAAAAAGATTAAGTTCTAGGAATTTTCCAGTCTTCACATATCCTATATAAAAATGAGGATTTTTCAGATTTCACTAGCATTTATGCTTCCACATGCAGAATGTATTCATTCTGGAATCCATGTTGTATTCAGTCTTGCAAGTACTACTGTGGGATTTTGAGCAGGAGGATGGGTCTAAATGGACTGGTTGGAGATATCTGGTCTGCTGCATGTCATATTCCCAGTTATACTAAAAGTTACAAGTCTTAGGTTAAAGAATTAAAGTTACGACACTGTCCAAGCAACCAAAACTTCTGTGTTAAGTGTAGCCCTTGGATAAGTACACTAAAACAATTGTCAGCATTTGGTTAAAGCACTGTAATTCACATTAAACAAATAAGCTTTTCTGACTAGTCCAAGTCATAGAGCACGTTTTTAAACCAATGCACTTTGTAATGTTCAGTTTTGGAACTAAAGGCATTAACACAAGTGCCACTGGCAAAATTTTATTTTAAGATCAAAATAAATAACTTTGGGAGGACTGAGCTCCCAAATACTCGTTTAAGAATCATAATATGTTGCTGATCATGAGAAGTTACAGTAATTTCATGAACAAGAAATTATTTGAAGCACTAACTGACTTGAGCAAAGCTGGGTTCTGAGCAGGTCTAAATGGTCAAGATTCAAATAAAACCCTTTTTAAGGCAACTGTAGATTTAATCAATTAATGAAATAACTAAAAACTGCTTGGGAGTTAATGACTGCTAGTTGGAAAAAATTGCAACAGTAAATCAGTCCAACTCAATGTTGCTAAATTCTAGTGGGAACTTTTCAAGAGGGAAGGTAAAAGTAGATGCATGGAGTTCAATTCATAGTGGAGTTAATTTTGTGTGCAGTCATAGCATCAGTCTTAACAGTAAGATCATAACTGTTATAGAATGTGCCTCAGCTGCAATGAAAATAAAGCCTCCTGCTTTAAGTAGTAGTTTATGCATCACATCATTTTGCCATACACTAGGAAATTTGTAGCCGAATTCTAATAAGTATTATATCATTGCTTGTGGAAACATGACTAGAGGTTGGCAAGGTTCTTTGGGTAAATCTGATTTTTTTTATTAGATCAACTAGAACAGTTGGAAAAATTCTTTGCAAGCTTTTGGGTACAAACACCCTTCATCAGGCTGAGGAAGCGTCTGAGTTGGTCTGTGCTCTTCCTGATTAGGGGTTGTAAGTTAAAGCAAACCAACATTATCAGGTTAAAAAAACTGTATACAAATATGAAGATGTAGCATTTTTCTCTACAGTTCTTATAGATCGAAGAAATTTGTTAAGTCTTCTCATTGTTAAGGCATTTCAAAAAAATAAGGAGAAATTCTCTGGGGAAACTTGTATTAAAAGACACTTAAAGGTTAATGAAGTTAGACCTTTAGAAGTCAGAAGAAAAAAAAATGGTAACTCCTACTGTTATCCACTACAAAAAACTTCCATAAACAAATACTGTTTTGATTATGTATATATGCACACTGTGTTATACATGGTCCTGTAGTTCGTGTATCCCTCTGAACATTCTGAGGAATTACTGATTAAAAAAACCCAAAAAACCCAAAACCACTTTTCCCTTGGTCTGTGGGCACTAAACAACAAGTATATTAAATCTTCCAGGAAAAATTTGTAACACCTGGTTAGTGCCAAATGCAATTCACTGTACAAAATTCAGAAAGGAACCAGTTATGAATTAAAATATCAAAGTGTAACAGACATATATTGAGAAAGTGAGTATCAGCAAGACAGAGGTAAACATTAAGGCAAAAAATGACAAATCCAAGATCAAAAGACCAAACCTTAGCATGTGGTTTTTCCAGCTCGTTCATATTTGCATAATCATGTTAACAGTCATATCTTCTAAATGAAATATAGTACCGGTTATCATACACTGAGGAGTCCAAGCTTCTTGCCCACATGAAATGTATGGATAAAATCCATGATTTACTTTTTCTACCTATTGCAGTGTATACTTTCTATATGTGGTCTGTATCTCTGTTCAGATGCAGGATGACTGGAATCAACAGTATTATGATAAGCAGTGCCCAGTTCTTTGTGGAAACTACCAGGATCTGCAAAATACAGTTTGGGTCTCTGGTGATATTTCATCCTGTACGTATCAGTCATACAACTATCTACTGAAAAATATGTAGTTAGAGATACACTATCATTTGCATCTGGAGAATTAGCACTTGGTCCCAGGTGGCATGATCCTTTACTTAAAAGGTTACCAGACAGAGTCTGAAAATCATTAACTGATGGGCCAGTTGGAAAATCTGGCTTGTGAACAGAAGGCTCCTTTCCTTTAAATGCTTCTTTAAGTCTTTCTTCATTTGTACATACACCTGCTTCTGGTGAACTTGAAGCTGTTCCTGTACTTTGCCTCTGAAAATCTGAAGGATTAACATGCAAGAATCCTGTCAATTTTACATCACATGGAGGTTCATTACTTTCTGTTCCTGACAAAAAGTTCCGAGCATATTTCTTTGGAGGTAAAGGAGGTGGAAGATTTTGGTAAACAGCTTCTGGTACCCAAAGATGATCAGTTCTACCAAATGACTGAACTGTACGTACACCAGATGAAAGTGGCATCACATTGCATTGCTCTGATGTGCTCTGGGGTACAAAAGATGACAGCCCTGCCTTTGATGTAGCACTTCTTGTAACAGGAGCCTGCAGCTGAGAAGATAAGAGAAATTCATTGCTATTCAGCCTCTTTCCACAGAGAGGTTCATTTTCAGTGTTACAAGAATGGGGTAAGCCGTCAGCACAACACACTTGCATGGCTGTCTTCTCAAGTTTATCTGAATTAAGCCACTCTGAAGAACTCTGTTCATATAGCTTATTGGCTCTAGTCTCTCGCTTAACATGGTCCTTATGAGTTGGCTGTAGAATTGATGAAGGCAAAAGTTTCCAATTACTCTCAGGTATCTCAGTCCTAAAATATAAAAATGCATAGGTGTACAACCAATCATTAAAAAAATAAAATGAAAAAAAAAGGACACACACTATATATTCATACACACAAAACAAATATATGTACACAGCTAGTGCCAGGAATATACTTCCATTACAGAATTCCTGGATATACTATTTAAATATCTGTTACCTTTGATCTGACTGAATGAGGGAATCTACTTAATAAATATTTGTTCAAGAAATTCATAAAATTACTGCATTTCTTTTCTGACAAATCTAAAGTATTAGCAAAGCTTTTAAAAAAATTAGACTTGCTTCCAACAAAAATGCACAGGATGGAATAAATTCTAGGCCCTGTTCCTGGCTATATCACACACACAGTTTGGACACACCAACAAGTGTCAAAAATTGGGAGGGGAGGGGAGGGGAATTCACTTACACTTAGGGTCCTGATTTTCAGAGGTGCTGGGCACCCAGAGCTCCTAGGGACTCCAGCTGGAGTTCAGGTGCATAGCATTTTCAAAAGAGAGATCTCAGATAATAAACAATCTCCATCCATTTTCAAGAACAATTTTCAAAAACTAATTCAACACTATGGTGATATTATCATCATCTATTATAGGATAATGTACACATTGGATAAAATCCAAATCTCTGACCTACATGCCAGATAAAATGCTCAAACATTTGATTCCCTGTTGATCAAGCCTCAAAACCTGAATCTGTTTTCCACACCTTTTGAAAAAGCAAGCTTTTCAGCCTCATTTTGATGCACTAGGTGTTAATATATATTCACAAGATGTCAGAAACAAGTATAACTACAATTCAGTGGACAAGGCATGATATGGTCATTTTGTAAGTTTCAGAATAAATTGATGTTAAAATGAATTACCTCACTGGAGGACTGTGTACCTGCGATTCTGATGGGAAATTATTATGAGGTCTGTAATTAACTTCTGTACTCATCTGGTCTTTTCTCAAGTCTGTAAAAAAAATATTGCAAATTTATTTCATATCAAGTAAAATACTTCTTCCTCAAACCTTCCTCAGAGCTCACTAAAACTTATTGGCACTATCAGAACAAACTTCTACAGAACCAGCCAGTTCACTGCTTTGAGTGTTACAAAGGACCTCTATGGTAGTATTTTCTGCAGTACTTCCAGTGCCACACACGGGGCCAGGCAGAGCTCCAGTGTCAATTCATGGCTGCGATGGTGTAGGGAGAAAGGGTTTAGGTTTATTAGGAATTGGGACCTTTTGGAACAGAAGGGATGGTCCCTACCCGAGCCAAAATGGTCGTAAGCTGCTGGCACATAACATTAAAAAGGGGGCAGAATAGCTTTTAAACTAAAAACAGAAAGCCCACCGATGTGGAACAACACAGTTTGGACTGACGCACCCTAGAGCAGTAAAACTATAAAAATAGGAATAAGAAACCGGTTAAGATGAACATAAGCAAATACCTTTAATGAGTAAAAGGTCACATGGAAGTAACTAACCAGGCAACAAGTAGTACACGTTTTTATACTAATGTTAGAAGTATGGAAGGTGGGGGAACCTGAATGCTTAGCAGTAAATAACAAGATTGATGTAATAAGTATCTCTGAAACATGGTGGAATGAGGGGAAAAACAAGCAAACAATGGGATGCTGTAACACCAGGATACAAATTTTACAGGAATGATCGATTAGAACGTGGTTGGGGAGTGGCACTTTATAACAAAGACTGCATTGAATCAAATAGGTTAGATTTTGCAAACAACAAAAGAGGTACTGCAAAACCTTTATGGTTAGAAATTCTGGGTTTCAACAGAAAAAAAAATCATCTCAGGATATACTGTTGGCCCACAGATGAGGATGGCAGCAGTGAGCTAGCAATGCTTAGGGAGTTGAAAAAGGCTCCAACACCAGAAAATGCACTAGGAATGGAGAATTTCAACTATGCACAAATAGACTGGGTCAATCTAACATCAGGCCAGGAAGCAGAGACCAAATTTCTTGATAAGGTAAGACTGCTTCCTGGAGCAGTTAGTCCTGGAACCTACAAAAAAGAAAGGCCGTTCTAGACCTAATCTTAAGTAGTGCACAGGATTTGGTGCAAAGGGAAAATTTTGCTACTGAGCCACTTGGCAATAATGACCATAAAGCAATTGGGTTTGACCTCCATGTAGGAGGGGAGACAAGACAGACAGACCACCAAGATGAGGAAGCTAGTTAAAGGTTAAAAGGGGGCTTCCAGTTAGAGGTTGAAAAAGGAGGAATTTGCAGGCAGGGTGGGAACTGCTTAGGAACACCATATTGGTGGCACAAAGCAAATGCATACTGCAGATCAAGAAAAATGGAAAGTGGACCAAAAGAAAGCCAGCATAGTTTAATGGTAGAGTTATAGAGGCAATAAGCAGAAAAAAGGGCTTATTTAAAAAGTGGAAGTCAACTCCTAATGAGGAAAATAAAAGAGCATAAACACTGAGAGGGCAAATGAAAAACTGAAATAAGACACGCTAAGAGAGAACTAAATCTACGTTAGAAGCCAAAGGCCTACCAGGGAGTCAGCTAAGCCTTTGGATGATTAGGGTGTAAAATGGGCACTAACAGATTACAGGTTTATTGCGAGGAACTAAATGCATTCTCTGCATCTGTCTTCACTGTGGAAGATGTTAGGGAAACTTTGCCACCAGATCCACACCTCTCTAGGAACAAGTCAATGGAGCTGACCCAACTTGAGGTTTCAATAGATGAGGTCATTAAGGAAACTGAGAAGCTAAACAGTAACAAATCACCAGAACCTGATTCTTCTATTCAGAACCTGATGGCATTTTCCCTAGGGTCATGAAAAAAATCATGTCAGAAATTGCTGAACTCCTCCTAACTGGAGGGTTGCCAATGTGACTCCCATATTTAAAAAAGGCTCTACAGGGAACTACAGACCAGTGACCCTAACTTCTGTTCCTGGAAAACTGGTAGAAGCAATAATAAAAATCGTTCAGCACGTGGGTGAACATGACTTGCTGGGGACAAAACAGCTTTTTCAGAGGGAAATCATGCCTCACCAACCTACTAGAGTTCTGTGAGGCTGTCAACCAGGTGGATCAGGTTGATCCAGTTGACACAGTATATCTGAACTTCCAAAAAGCCTTTGACAAGGTCCCCCCCATCAGAAATTCTTAATTAAAGTTAGGTAGTCATGGAATTACAGGGACTGTCCACCTATGGATCAGAAACTGGCTCCAAGATCTGAAGCCAAGAGTGAGGATAAATGGTCAGTTTTCACATTAGAAAGAAGTAAAGAACGGGGCACCCTAGAGATCTGCATTGGGACCAGTGCTGTTCAACATATTTATAAACGATCTGGAAAAGGGCGAGTAGCAAAGTGGTCAAATTTGCCGATGACAAGATTACGTAGAGTTGTAAAGACCAAGGCAGACTGAAGAACTACAGAATGATCTGGCACGACTGTGCAAATGTGCAACTAAATGGCAGATGAAATTCAATGTAGATAAATGATGCAAAAACAACCCAAACTATACCTACATTATGATGGGCTCTACATTAGCTGTTACCACACAGGAAAGATCTGAGTCACTGTGGACAGTCCACTAAAAGACATCAGCTCAGCGCTCAGCACCTATCAAAAGTGTGGGTGAACTGCACATGGAAAGTATCATTATGCCCCTTTATAGGTGCATCCCCCACCCATCTTGAATACTGTATCTAGTTTTGGTCCTCACACCTCAAAAAGGGTACAGACAAACTAGAGAAGGTCCAGAGAAGGGCAATGAGGATGCTTAGTAGTGTGGAGAGGTTTCCATATGAGGAGAGAGAAAAGAGGCTTGGCCCATTCAGTTTAGAAAGATATGTTTGGGGGGTGGGGAGGGGCTTGATAAGGGTTTACACAAAAAAACAAGAAGGTACAGAGAAAGTAAAGAGATTCACTATTTATTCTCTCCCAATTCAAGAACTAGGGGCGGGGTGTCACAAAAGGAAACTAGCAGGTACTAAGTTTAATACTAACAAAAGGAAGTTCTCTCTCACACAGCATGAAATTGAAGTATGGAACTCAATACCACCAGATGTTCTAAAAGTTGACAGTTTAGCTAGATTCAAAAAGGGACTGGACAAATTCTTGGAGGAGAGAGGCATCAGTAGCTGTTGAGCATGGGAATTAGAGATACAGCTATGAATTAAGACCTTAAATGCTGGAGACTGCAAGTGACAGGGGAACAGTTGGAAAAAAA